TGTGCCCAACTGTATGATCGTAAAAGGCGACAAATGTGGGGTATCTGTAGCATCGCGGGTGGTTTCTTCCTTGTCTTCTATTTAGGGGACATTGAAGAAATCAAGAATAGACTTGCTGTAAACCAGTAAACCACTGCATGCGTATCGTACAAAGTGATTATGAGTCCCCGGGGCCAAGATTCGTGCACTGTTTTGTGGCATTAGTCAATTTTGTCATTCGCTATAACGCCATCAGCCTATAGACCACATACGTGATAGGCACGTTAGGGTTGAGTTGCAATATCGGACCCCATGACAAACTGGATGACATTGCGTTTGTTAAAGCATTGCCCCCGTTCTCTTTCTTGAAACAACATTACGTATGGCCCAAGTCAATGTATATGTACGTAGTGGCCCAAGTGGCCCAAGTCAATGTATATGTACGTAGTGGCCCAAGTCAATGTATATGTACGTAGTGGCCCAAGTGGCCCAAGTCAATGTATATGTACGTATTGGCCCAAGTCAATGTATATGTACGTAGGGGCCCAAGTCAATGTATATGTACGTAGGGGCCCAAGTCAATGTATATGTACGTAGGGGCCCAAGTCAATGTATATGTACGTAGTGGCCCAAGTCAATGTATATGTGCGTAGTGCAGCTGTGGGATCGCACAACATTACAAGATGTGCGGTGTGCCGGCGATGTGTGCACGATGTGCAAACGATAAGAATCTGGACGATTACTGCTTGCGCACATTTGTGCGGACGATGGACGAACGTTGTGCGCTGAAAATCGTGGTTGGTGCAAATTGAGAAATGACTTAACATAATATACGGTTTCATGTTTAAACACACAAACAATTGTTTTCATGCTCTTGTTTAAAAGCGACAAACTCGATCGTAAAATGGTTGACTTCAAGCATGACTGACTATATTGTTGAATTTCGTTCCGTAAAATATGTTCAAGAAAAGTAGCGTCTTTGCGTAGTCGCCAGGTGACAGTTACATCTGCATTGTGCTCTATTTATTGAATATTAACCTAAATTAGGTCTGGTGACCTAATATGAAAAAATTAACAGAAATGAACACCAATTACTCCAGGCAAAATTATTACTTAAATATATATATGTCCAGATGACCAAAGCAACGTATAGATATGATATCAACTCCAATCTAAAAATTAGATGAAACAATGTAAAATACGGTAAAATTATTGCCACTTTACTTCAAACATATGTACATAAAGATATGACTTAATGCATATCATCAATTGCAATGTGTGTTTGTTTGTTGGTTTAACATCGCGCAATAGCCAAGGTCTATGTCGTGCGTTTTGGGAGAAACCATCGAATTGAATATGGAAAGTGAGAAGAATATGCTTTGCAAGTACTACAATAAAGGCAGGAGATGTATATTCATACATGAAAAATATTACTAATTTATTATAACTACTCAAATGAAACACGTAAGTCAGGCCTCTGGTGATTATCATTGCACCATTCGTGGCTACAAATGGTGAGGTTTTAACACAAATCATGGTCGATATGTTTGTCTGCTGGTGCTGAATCAAATCATTATCGCATGTCGGCGCTATGGTTATCACTTCGTTTTCGCTCTAGATTAATGATTGGAAACTTCATTCAATACTGACACAAACGCTGATTATGTTTCAAAATAATACAAGTTCTGCTCAGGGTCGTCGAGATGATTAAAATCAACAAAATGTGTGTGATTTAGCATCTTGTAACTGTAATTATCTCAGAGTTTTGAACGCACCCCTTTTCGCTGGATAGAGACTATTTTAATCAAACAGAACATAAATGTTCTAGTGTGAAAGGAATAATTCTGAGGTTATTCCAAAATGACAATACGTGTTATCTTGACTATATCGCAGGTGTAGAATATTGAAATAGCATTCGGAATTACGCCTGACATGTTATTATTGATACCTACAACAGTTATGAATTTCAATAATGACCTTCGCTGCCGTGTTAATATTCGCGAAACTTTTACTATTGTTAGAAAAAGAAAAAAATCTGTTCTTTAGATGATACTATCTTGATAATATTTAATCATTTTCAGAAATGTTTTTATTATTTGTCGCTTGTCATGAAACAATTGTCAGCATGGTTTCCCAAGTGAGTTCCTTACTCTTACGAATAGCTTGTCATAGCAAATCCTGCGGAAGGTTTAACTGCTTCGACCTAATTACACCTATTAATTTTGTCGTCTTTGTATTATTACGCCCCGTTAACCATCACCAAAAGCGGAACAATTGTCGCCAACCGATACGAAAGACATCTCGTGATGACTCCTGTAGCTGATGGTGTCGAAAGCTTCTAGAATAATTAACGACACTCACAAAACTCAATAACCGTTTGAAATCGGGAGCTCGCCACGGGGAATAGACATCATCATTATTGATTCCAGGGCTCAACATGGGTTCCCTATTTGTACAGGGTATTTCAACATTATGTCTTTTCTGTAGCTAATTGGTATTACTATACATATATGTATATATAAATACACTGTTTAACCACTAAATATATGTCGAAAGTGGCGTTAAAAAAAATCGTCTACTGATAAACCTAAGGAATCCAAATCTGCTGCCCTTCATTTTTTCTTCAGAGGAACCAGCCTTTATACGACCTTCGATGAGGTTTAACCCACAATAAACCTAATCTGCTGAATTACCAAAATACATGGGCCGTAAACATACAGCATGCTCAGATGAAGAGCTATCGAGTTTGTTTAAGCGAATCACCTTTAAATGACTCCGTCATTAAAACTGATATTTGCCTGTAGTTCTATTTTAAGGTAAAACGTGTGAAATCTGTACCAAGTGAGCGATGCAGGCCCATTGGGCCACATGTTTTTATTGAACGGAGGCACAAAGCAAAACTTATGTTGAAATATTTGATTGGCTTTGATATTGTGGCGCTGCTGAACTGTGCTACTGTTAGTCATTAAACTAATGGCACCGTTTGTGAAATTGACTAGTGATGTTTCTACACGTCATTAAAATCCGTTATTCGCAGACATCTCTGATGTAAACATTCATCATAGAGAAGGTTAACCAAATAAAGGTCTTAATCTATAAAGCTAATGAATATAATGTGTTACTTATACCGATAATTCCGTTTTACTCCTGATGCCCGGAAGGGTTTTTGTAACGAAGCTCTTGAAATAATAGCGTCGACAGTTCTCCGTTTTGAGATTTGAAAACGTGACTGCCTAATGGGTCCACTTCGAAGATGAACTGCATGTCCATGATATATGAAATACAGGATTGTGTTCTCATCTTCTATAACGTGTCGACGTCAATCAATTAAATAGACGTATGAGCCTTGTTTCAAAGCTTTAGGCGTTCATAGCGACCACACTGGTCGACATTCCATAAGAGTTGATGTCGACTATTCATTTGCTGATGTTATAATCATTGTATTTCGTTTAACCAAAAATCTAACAAACAGTGTCTAAGTCTTTGGTCCTTTACTGTTAATTTACATTAGATGTAAATAAACTATCCCATATTTGCCTATATTACATGTTAGATATTTTAATTATCTACAATTTTCTGTACATATATGTAAAGATAGACGCGTTAAAGTTATATATATGCATGTTGTTATTCGAGTGTTATGACATTACATAAGACACACTTAAAATTATACACTCGTGCAAATGATAGAATTAACACTCATGTGTCTACCAAAAACATTTGTGAGGGGATTCAAGCTGTTTTCCCCGTTTGTTTGTTTTTAATTATATTGAGTTCTGGTTGTGACTACATGTACCAATTGCACCCATTGCACCCAGCACAGTATTTCACCAGCGAACCCGAAGCCGACTTTATAGTGCTATCTCACTGAAATGCCACCGCTTCCTAGAACAGCGGGTATACTGCCAAAGGGGGAACCAGTTGTTGCGATAACCCTAAAGTTTGAACGTTAAGCAGGGAAAAACAGCTATCAATTTTCTCGGACTCAATTTTGTCTCGGCCAAAAGAGCAATTGAGCTTCTGCTGCGGTGCAGCGTCCGTCGTTTGTCAATTTTTGCTTTAAACGACTTCTTCTTAAGATAGAAAATCGTGATATTTGTTTTTTTATGAAGAATAAAAGGCATTTAACCGTTATATTTTCCGGAAGCTTTCTTTGGATGGAATCCGACAGGTGGCTTTCTTGAGTTAAATTTCATTAGCACTATTTCTCAAAAAGTGCTTTTGGGATATCGCGCTAACTTCACGAGAAGGTTACCAACTGGCAGGTAACGCAAACAGGCAGCAATCTTGAATTTTGAGAGTTAAAGTTTGAAGGAGCTACAAATCAGAAAAAAACTAGAGCGATCTTTCTCAAGTTAGACATGCATAGCTATGCATACCATATTTTGGATTTCTTGAAATTGCAATAGGAGAGACAGGTCCAGAGAGAGTGGGCACCAGTTGTCACTCATTTTGTCGTTTTGTGATCGTATAGATTTGTTGGTAATTAGTTAAAGTCGACAACTTCCACTGAAGCCCTCTTTAGACCTCGTCCCTTCTTCAGGGTACAGACCTGTTTTTCCCTAACAGGTTCGAACACTGGATGTAGTGGTAAGACAAGCAACGGATTCAATAACTCAACGAGGTGTTTCAAAATACAGATAACCATTTATAAACAATGAATATGTATAACAGGTTTAAAAATGGAAGATCGTGGCATTAGCGTCAAACAATGGCAACTAATACTAAATAACTCATCCACAAGGTAAACGTTCCTTGCATAGTTTAAATGTAATGCTAAACTTTAAGCAATCGTAGTGTTCCAAATTGATTTTTGTTTTCATACATTTTCAATACATTAGGTTCGATCAAACAATCTTGACTCTATGAATTAAACATGAAAGACAGTTTTGGCAGTACTTCGCACATCATAATAAAAAATACACCAGTATCAGTATATACGCTGTTGTATTAATACAGACATATATAGGATTGAACATGTATAATCTTATCACTTCCGTACCGAGAAATATTGCCCGGAGTCATCTAATTCAATATCACTCCAAAATATATATAGCAGAATTTTGCTTATGACAACACCAAATACATATCCATTCAATTTGTGCGAATCAAACCTTCATCTCTGCAATCTTTCCTGTCGTAAAGGAATGGAACATGGAAAATTATATTAGGAAATAACATGTACAAGCGTGTTCAAACTAATGGTATTGTTACAGAATTGATGAATGTTATTAAATCTGTCACATTTCTTGATTTGGTTTGTTTTGTATTGTTTAACGTCCTATCAGCAGCTTAGTAATTTAAGGACGGTCTCCCCTGTGTGCAAAATGCATGCTTGTAGCGTATGCGTGTGTGTTTTGGGAGGCTGCGATATGTTCGTGTTTGTCTCTTTGTGATTGCGCGGAAATGATCCCGACTTTATATTGCTACCACACTGAAACATACTGCCGAAGACACCCAGCAGGACACCCCAGCCGGTCACATTATTCTTACAACTGGCGAACCAGTCGTCCCACTCCTTAATTGCTGAGCGTTAAGCAGGAGTAGAAACTACCATTTTTACAGACTTTGGTATGTCTTGACCAGGGGACAGAACTCAAAGCCTTTCACACATGGGCGAACGCTAAACTTCAGGCCAAAAGTGAAGCATTGTCAAGGGAAACATTAGGAAGAAGAAAGTTGTTGAGAAAGAAGAGAAGAGATAGGATCCCAAATTTAGTCGCCTCTTACGATCATGCAATGGGGGCAGCGTTACAATTATTACGCCCTACCAGCAGGAACACTGTCACATTTCTAAGAAACATTCCACCAATAAGTTTCAGACAAGCAAACATTTCCCAAGGGATTTCGTCCAAACTATCTTTGTATTATTTTCCAGTCTCGGTCCTTGCGCAAACCCGTCCCCCCTTTTTGCTTTGATGTTGAACGTTCGCTCAGTTGAGGAAGGCAATAGAGGCTTATCCGTCTCTTGTTTGGTCATTCATTCATACCCCATTCTTATTTATTGAATTGTTTATATCAAGTTGAACATCCCCGCAATAGCTGACGTCAAATGAACACGGGTGCTTAGGTTGGCACAAGCCCTGAAAACAGATGATGAGTAAAAAAGTAGGTCCATAGAGTTCCACATGGGAGCAGCATTTCAGTTTTGGTCTTTCCGATGTCCACTTAGCAGTAGACAGTCAGGCACAGAAGATAACTCCGACTGTGCAGGGGATCCAACATTTGTCGCATCTGACGATTATCTGCAGTGGTATACATGTACAGCAGGCCTATTCTCTTACCGAACCCGCAGGTAACCTTATTAATTGAAGCGCGCAGACCAACATCAATGCATACATGTAGCGTGTCACGAACCACTTACAATACAATATCTGCTGTTAGATTGCCGTGGCCTTCAGCCAACAAGAGAGGTTCTATAATAATGTAACGAATCTCTCATGTATTATCGACCTTTTATTGGCCCTAATGACCTTCTGTGTTGATAGGCTGTAAAGAATGTAATAGGAATACGCAATATCTGATAAAACTGCGTTTGTTTAATGTCATTTACTTTTCATATGACGAATAAATACGCAATATGCGATTCAATTTCGTCAGAGTTCTCTCTTACAGTTACAGAAATAAAAGAAAAGTGTTATAGAAAGTGACCCAATGCTATTTTACTATAAACAAAAACACACGGGGCTGGCAATCGTGTTTACATGCGGCTAGCGTGTGCGTATATATGAGAGATGGTCAGGTTTTCACCAAAGGGACACCCTTGGGTAGTAATAGCGGTCGTAAAAAGAAATCCTATTGTCGTGTTTGTTGTTCGTTTTCACCTTTAGTATCATGGCGATAGTCGTCAAGTGCGATGTTGGACACTAGATAGTCCCCTTATGGATAATACACGACGATTTTGAAGGTTCTACCGGTGACCTGAATGACGCATGGGTTGTTTGTGACGACAGATTACTTGGTAACCTCTACTTAAGATTGCATTATGCTTTGCATTGGTACGAAGACATGGCCGTTTATTAGTCTATGAAGTGTGCCTAGAGGATTATTTTTGTCGAAACCTTGGACTTTTGTTGTTGTTTTAGTATCTCAAATATTTGAAAACAACCATAAAATGGAAAGGAACATTATTGAACATTAAATAAACACAATCTGTATTTTTAGATTAAATGATTTACTGTACATGTTTTTCAATTACCAGACCTTTATTTTCAGAAATTTGTTATGGCAAAGTGGCAAAATAAATGGAATCACTGCGTAGACGACAAAATGCACTGAAAAACGAAAATAGGGGAATGATATCTATGCTATGGGGAAAACTGTCGAGACGAGGTTATCCTTGCCATCTCCGGATTGGTCATTCATATATAACCCATCTTGTGTCGATGGTGTGTCAAGAATTAAATAATAATATTAACAATGATATTACTTTACACGTCATCCCTGACGGCAAGTGATTGAGAAAAGAGGCGGCTAACAGGGAAATCCTCTGCAGTTTTTGGGATTAGCGTTTGTGCACTTCACTTAGGGACAAAAAGATATCAAAAAAAATATGCTGCACTCATTGCAATATTTGCAATTTGAAATATTTCTTTACTTCTAACTACCCTTTGTTTCCTAACGCATTCCTTGGCAATATCTCAATGTTGGCTACAATTTTGAACGTTAACGTTCAACATAAAGGAGAAATTGTAACAACTGGTTATTCCGTTGTCACTTTGATGTGACTAGGCGGGATGCTATGTTTGGTGGCTTTTGCATGGTAATTTAGTGAGAAAGCACTTTAAAGTTGGTATTAGAAGGACACAATTACATCAACATCCCCTGCATCCAGCAAACATATACACATGCACGCATACTTTAGACTATGAAGGCACGCCACCAAATGAGATTTGCTGTTGATATGATGTGTAACCCTATAAAACACAACACAAATAATGAGTGTGTTTTCATAGGACGATATAAAGTGCCAAAAGACTATTTTGGAGGTACCTATAATTGAAGGTCGATCAGAACCACAATTTAAAGACGTCCGAGCGTCAACCAACCACATAATGAACCCGTTTTGAATATATTACAACTTTGTCAACTCTTTAGGGATCCCCCGAGTCATTTCACAGATGTTGATGGTAACGATTTCACTAGGATCTCATCATCGAAGATCAAACGCAATGGATGACAGGTTGATGTTTAGATGGACGTCATGCCCATGTGTTTATTGCAGAGCAAATGTGAGGATAACGCCTATGTTCAAATTATCTTGTAAACAAATACAGAAACAATTAGAACTTGGTAGACAAACAAACCCATTACAATCGATTCAGTCCATCTATTGTGAAGAAGATGCGGGTCAAGAAACAAAATCAATTAATTATTGATCGTGGCAATGAATTATTTTAAGCATTTCGTCAAAGAATGATAGATTAAGTGATAATACAAATTCTAAGGCATTTGGTGCATAATTGCAGTACAGTAATTATCTACTGCACTGACATATTGTGTAGCAATGTATGTCAAGTGGATTTATATATACAACCAACTCGGATTTCTCTAGTGAATTGGACTAGGGAAACAATTGTTAAGTTTTGTAAAAGTTGCAGTCGGGGAATTCAGCGATAGGTCTAGCTCTAATTAAATATTTTATTGATATTGTGTAGCAACAACTGTTGACTGGATTTATATATTCAACTAAACAGTTCTCTGGTGAATTGGACCAGAGAAACAATTGTTAAAACTTTTGTAAAAGTGGAAACCGGGGAATACAAAGATAAGCTCTAACTCCAATTAAGGGAAACCTGCAAATTATTTATGAAAATGTGTTTCATACACAAACATCTAGAGGAAACTGCAAAGAAACGTAACATTAATAAATAACAATGTAATCACTTTCACAGCAAAAGGACGAAGACAAACTAGTCGCTAAATTATCGTGGCAAGATGTCCAACTTCTATTTAAAACTTGTTCATGTTATCATAAATACCGCTAGCTTGATTAACCAGGTACGTTATAGGGGATGCAATTTATATGAGACATGTCTTAAAGATAGGTTGGTTTAGTTTAATTTGTTTAATGCACTGTTTACAGTTATTTATGATAAAATGTGTTGGATGGTTTATTTTCCAATAATATTTAATAACTTAACAATTATTTAAAAGTGCCAAAAGGTATATGTTTAAAACATTCTAGTATTAACATTATGTATTTCTTTGAAAGAACGTCTACTTCTAGTATTATTTATCCTTAAAGACCTATACTATTGAACGGTCGTAAATCAATACAAAAATAAAACAAAGCGCCCGTCTTCACCTTGCTTGTATCGACTTTAGCGTTATCATTTTTGAGTTGATTTTAACAAGTTATGAAGTCTACGTAATTAGGAATGTACGACAACACACCCATGCAGGTCGTGGATTGAGAAAAAAAATCTTCGGCAGTATGTTTAAGTGCGGTAGCAATATAAAGTCGGCATCATTTCCGCGCTATCTCAAGGAGACAAACACGAACATATCGCAGCCTCTCAAAACACACACGCATACACTACACGCATGCATCTTGATATAACGTGGAAACCATCTGCATAGTTTGGGAAATGCGTTTGTGCCTTCTATTTAGGGACACAAAAGCGAAGGCAATACCCAAGTCCTTAAACATAGTAGGGTGTTATGCCCTGCTTAACGTTCAGTAATTAGGGTAATTGCAACAACTGGTTTATCCGTTGACGGTATACTGTGACTGTTTGAAATGCTGTGCATGGTGGGTGTTTTAGTTAGATTTCACTATAAAGTTGGCATCAGATCCGCGCTTTCACAAGGAGGCAAATCCATCAGCATACCCTGTCTCCGGTACGCATATATAACAAACATGCAAACACGTCCTTAACCATTTCAACACTGCAGACGATAATAATGGACTCATTCAGATCAATTCATGGTAGACTTTATTTAAGTAGCATAGGGGTGAAGGGGTTAAATGATCTTAGCTTTTGAAAGGATGTTACACCATTTAAACTAACCAAAACTTACCATAAGGAATGA